GCTTAATCCGGGTCAATCCCGATGGGTCCGACTAAATCCCGTTTGATCCGGTTAAATCCCGCTGAATTCAGGGCCTAATCCGGCGTAGAAGCCCCTCGGTTGGGGCTGAATCCCTTTTAATCTTTCCGACGAAGACCTTCCAGTAGTTGCGTCCTAAGGAAGTCCCCCCCCCTTCGCTCAACGCTTGTTCTAAAGGCTTCTGCATCTCGGGGTCATCCTTGGAAGGCTTTTGGGCCAACGTGGCTCCAAGAGAGCTCAGGACGTTTTCCCTGATTGCTCGGGGCATCCCGGCTCTCAAGATAGTTATCATTATGCGTCAGTCGGGTATGTCCCTCTAGAAGAGGAGTTTTCTAATAGTCAGACAATTGGGGACGATGTTTTAATTATTTGTTCCCAATCAGTGCTTGCACTGAAGGGGTCCTAGCGGGAGTTGGAAGATTTGGCGAAAGTTTCCCGCCTATTTTGGTAGCAGGCCGGGTTCCCGGGTTCCAGGTTCCGGGGTCCTGGGTTCCAGGTTAGTGGTTCAGGGCCGATTTCGGTGGGTTCTGGGTTCCCGGGTTCCCAGGTTCCCGGTCGATCTCTTCAGCGAAAACCATCCATTGATTGGGTTTTGTCTCTGGTGTAATTGACTACTCTCGATTTTTGTTGATTGATTCTCGTTTTTCGCCCAACAATCGCCTTTAGGAGGACATGCCCGGCCTAACACTATGCCTCCAACCGCCCCAACACTGTTCCAAGTCGGCTCGAAGTGGCCACGGAGCTCTCCAAGGAGGCCCCCAAGAGGCCAAAAGCATTCCAAACCCAACTTTGATCAAATCATGTTTCCGGTGGGCTTGGAAGGCTTCATGATGGCTACAGGACGGCCTAAGAAAGACCTTACATAGCTTCAAGACGGCCTCAAGAGCACCCAAGAGCGCCCAACGAAGGCCCCAAGAGATCAGGGGCGAGGCTCACTACGGCCCCCCTTGTTTGATTGATGTCCTCCAAGATGGCCCCAAGAGGGCCCCCATGGCTACCAAGAGGGCCCCACGGGAGCCTCAAGAGGGCCCCGACAGAGCCCCCACTATTGCTCAAGTGGTTTCAAGTGGCCCAGGTAAGCTGCCAAGTGGCTCCCTATCGAAAGATCCGCGAAGAGATTGATGCTTGACTCATGCGCGTGCTTGGACAGATTGCGATCTTCGGTTTGACGGGTATCCCCCCCTCTTTGCTCCACTGCGTGTTCACACACTCCCGTGAATTATTTCAACTCGCCAGGGCATCGTTGCTGAATAGGCCGGTGGGGACACGCGAAGCGCCAACCATTTGCTTATTCACGCGCTTTGGCTGCTTTGGTAGGGGCCTCCGGGGGCTACTTTGGGAGCCTCCAGAGGCCTCGGGGGACCCTGTGATGGGGCTTTCGGTTTTCTCTTGGGGCGGACGAGCGTGGAGGGGGGGGGGGGGGGGTATTGCGGGCCCAGGACCAGAGGAGGAGGAGGAGGAGGGAGGAGGAGGAGGAGGAGGAAGAAGAGGAGTAGGGGGCGGCAGTCGACGACTTCTCACGCGACCAGGTTCCAGGTTCCAGGAGGAGGAGGAGATAGAGGATGGGGGAGGAGGAGGAGGAGGAGGAGGAGGAGGAGGAGGAGGAGGACAAGTGCAAGTCCAAGACGCATCAACAATGCTGCAATAGAACCTCCCGCCAAGGTTACCTATATCAGCTTGTCAGCATTGCGGGAAGTGCTCCATAAAAGGCAACCGTCCGATAATCTTCAATCGTACGAAACACTAGTGCTCTGACATCCGTGCCGCGAATCGAGACGACTCTTGCGTCTTGAAGATCTTAAGCCGCGCCAGAATACCACTCCTTGGACTCGAACACTCCGAGACAACATGATTGGCGCGTCCTCACAATCCGAAACCACACCAGAGAAAAAACACAATCCGTGGATGGTTTTCGCTGAGGAGATCGACCGGGAACCCGGGAGCCCGGGAACCCAGAACCCACCGCAATCGGCCCGGAACCACTAACCGGGAACCCGGAACTGGGAACCGGGGAACCCAGTCTGCTACCAAATTCGGCAGGAAACATTCGCCAAATCTTCCAACTTCTGCTATAGCACCCTTTCAGTGCAAGCACTGATTGGGGAATCTTACGAGAACACCATTAGTGGAACTTCGACCATACGAATCCTTGAGATAGTGGTTGCAGACGAATGTGCGTGGCGCTCAGGGATGGGTTTCGCTGAGAAGATCGACCGGGGACCCGGGAGCCCGGGAACCCAGAACCCACCGAAATCGGCGTGGAACTAATAACCGGGAACACGGGAACCCGGAACGGGGAACCCGGGAACCCAGCTTGCTACCAAAATCGGCGGGCAGTTTTCGCCAAATATTTCAACTTCCGCTAGGACCCCTTCAGTGCAAGCACTGATTGGGGAAAAAATGGAGCCGCCTTCCATGTTACGAATGCGCGCGGCGCTAAGCGCTAAGTTGAGAGTAGCCTTGTGAAAACCACCCGCCTTCCATTCGTGAAGCTGTTGCCAATTTCCAGGACGTTCGCGCAGATACCCAGGCGTTGAAAACGGCCCGCGCTGCATCCGTTGAACTGCCACAGACGTTTGAAGGCGAAGGTGTTCGACGCTAAGGCGGGAAACGCATTTTGAGAGCGACCCGCCGTCCCTCCGTGAAACCGTGGCAGATGCAAAGCCTCGGGGTCAGAAGTGGTGCGGCTTTGTTCGGGCGGAACGCACGGCTCGCCCCACCGCCACGTCCTGTGGGGGCGACAGGGGGGAGCTTCTCATCCAGGACGTGGGCGGAGACTGAGTAGGAGAAACAAACCGCGAATCAACGTGATTGCTGCGTGCTGGCAATGTAAAAACTCGTGCAGAAAGCTGTTCTTGGGAGTTCAATGCCGCGAGTCCAGACGATTGTCTTTACAATCTGAAGCCGCGCTGGAACACTATCCCTGAAACTTCAGTCATGCGACTCCTTGAACCTGTTTGCAAACTTTGACAGCGAATGTGCGCGGCGCTAAGGCGAGAACCACATGTTGAAAATGAGCTGCCTTCCATCTGTGAAGCTGATGTAAAACAAACAGGACGAATGTGCGCGGTGCTCAGGCGAAAATCCCCCCAAACTCGCACTCCCCTGGCGGATGTGTTGCAATTTTGTAAGACGAATGTGCGTGGCGCTAACGCCACAGCTACATGTTTACAACGTTCCGCTCTCAACCTTTGAAGCTGCTGCACCCTTTTGAGACGAATGTGTGGGGCGCGACGGCTATAGCCACATGTGAAAACCACCCGCCCTCCATCCGTAAAGCTGCTGCGAGACTTAAGCCTCAGGATCCCGAGTGGCGGGGAAGCCCCAGGCGAAACGCCAGCGGAGGGAAGGGGGGGAGAGGGCGCACCACCTCCTCCGCCTCCCCTCCGCGCCACTCCGCGGGAGGCGCCTTTGCGCCAATGCCGTGTTTGGCGCAGGGCCACTCTGCGACGCCAGGACCGGACAGATCGCCCCAGGTTCTCGGAACGCTCCGAGGGCGTCCTGGAGTCCCGCAGAACGGCCGCGGCGCCCGACGCACCCTCCAGAGCCGCCGGGTCTCGGAGATCCCAGATCTGGCTTCGTCTTGTCTTGCCGCTGAGGATGTGGGACGATGGTCGCTGGGGGGGCGGGGTCGCGGGTTCCTGTTCCAGGAGCTGCTGGAAGTTTGGGCCCATCTGCTGTTCCTCATCCCCCGTTCCTCTCGCTTCATCGTCCTTTTTGTTCCCCCCCTCCCTCCTCGTGCGCATCCTGACTCCTCCCCTCCTCACCGCTGCTCTCCAGCCTTTCTCCGTCTTTCCCTCCCCGCTACAGCTTCCCCTCACCATTCCCATCCCTCATGCGCTGGGTTTCGTTTTTCGTTATTCCTCCTGCCTCTCTCCTCCTCCCTTCCCTCCTCCTGGCCCGCTTGCGTCTTACCTCCTGCATCGCAGTCTTGCCTGGGGGTTCGCTGGGAGGCTGCCAGCCGCGAAACCGTCGCATCTTTCGAGAGCTGCTGGGGGGGTCCCAGCTGAGTAACGTCTTGCGCAGATTCAGACTAGACCTCGCCATCCCTCGGGGGTTGCGAACTGCGAAACTGTAGGCACTTTCGAGGGCTGCGAAAGTGTCGCCGCTTTCGAGGACTGCAGGGGAGTCCAGATGAGTGACGTCCTACAGAGACGCAGATGAGACCTCGCCGAGCATAAAGGCTGGCGAACTGCGAAACTGTCGCCACTTTCGAGGGCTGCTGATGTGGCCAGCTCAGTGACGTGCTACGCAGACTCAGATTTTACCTCGCCATACCTGTTGTGCTGCGAACTGCGAAACCGTGGGCACTTTCGAAGGCTGCTGGGTGGGCAAGCGGAGTGACGTCATACGTGGATTCGGATTGGATCTCGCCATCCCTAGGGGGTTGCAAACTGCGAAACTGTCGGCACGTTCGAGGGATGCTGGGGGGTCCTGGTGCGTGACGTCCTATGCAGATTCAGAGTGGACCCCGCCATGCGTGGGGGCTGCGAACTGCGACACTGGCGGCACCTTCGAGGGCTGCTGGGAGGTCCGCGGGGCGATGTCTCACGTGGATCCAGGTTCGACCTCGCCATCCCTGCGTTACCTGCCGCACGGCGTGTGGGTGCGAGGTCGGCCCCTGCTGCCAGAAGCGCGCGGAGCTTCCCTCCTTGCACCCCTCTGCCTTGCAAGACCCCTTGACCAAGTTGTTTCCCCTCCCTTCGCGCGCGCGCCCTCTTCCACCTTTTTGCTCCTCCCCTTTCTTATCCCGCCTCCCTCCGCTCCCTTTTCTTTTTTCCCCCAACACCCTTTTCGCCCTCACCATCCCCCCTTCGGGAGCCGCGGGCTCCTTCATCCAACACCCCTTCCGCCCTCATTCCCCTTCCTTTCCTACAACACCCTTTTCGCTCTCATCCTCCTTGCCCGTGATTATTCCGCCTCCCTCCGCCTCGTCCTTCTTCCTCCAACACCCTTTTCGCCCTCATCCTCCCTCCTTCGGGATGCCGCAGGCGCTGTTTCCTCTGTGGTTCGATGGGCCCCCTGGCTCCAGGAAGGCATATCCAGAGCACGAGGGAGAGCGTCGCCAGCCAGAGTGAGACTCGCGCGCGGCGCATCGTCCAATCCAGATATAGCCGCACACGCCCCCAGACCTTCTACGTCGTTTTTTTCATGTAGTGGAACCCCAGCGGTCTGAACCAATGCGATTCCTCAGGACGTTGTTTCATCCCGAGTCGTTTTTCTTGGCGGCCCCGAGGCCCGGCAGAGGCCCCCAGAGGCCGACAATAACAAACAATTCCCCGCCATTGCACTATCATGACCCCAGGGGGTCGGGGCACCGTCCTCTTTCACCCCATGGCATGCACCCCTTGCCCCCCCCCTTGCCCTCCCCATCCCCGCGTAGGTTTGGGCCCCTCCTTCCTAGTTCCCGCCTCCCTGCCCGAGGGAGGTGGGAGGAGGGAGGTCCGTAGCCATGTTGGCTCAAGACTAAACGCTGTGAAGGACTATAAACGTCCGAGACTCAGCGATTAGCTTTGGACTTCCTGTTCGCAGGGGGGGCACAAGCACTCCTTGGCCGCCAGGTAGCCACGGCGCGGGGCTCGCCCATCGGCCACGGCCCCGCCGTCTTCTTCCTCTGCGCCGCGGGGCTGGTCCCCTCCATTCCAGCCATGGACCACGCTGCTGGCGCTGGCCCCGCCGTTCGCGGCAAGAGGGCCGCCCGCCAGCCCGGCAGGAACAATTCCGACGAGGCGCCGCCGAGGAAACACCCCGCGCTGGACGACGGCATCGGGCGTTTCGAGAAGATTGAGGGTGAGGAAGGCTTGGTGGAGCAGGTGGACGTGCGGTCTCCAGGCGCCCGAGATGCAGGAGGGACCGTCGACCTGCTGCAGGACGAGGAGCTGTTCCCAACGCTGGAGGGCGCTCCGCTCACCCAGTGTTCCTGGCACCCCTCGAAGTGACAGTGACGGAGGACGTGGAGGACGTGATGGCACAGGCGGTTCCAGCCCTCCTCGGCTCACCGTTGGGATGTCCTCAGGGACAGAGGCCACAGCTCGTGCGACGAGTGGCTCCGCCAGCTCTGCTGGCTGCGCCCCTCCAAGTCAACAGGCTGCTGACGGTCGTGGCGGAGTGGATGATGATCCTGAGCGCGCGCAGCTCAGGCAGTACATTGACAAGACCAGGTCGGACGTTTTGTCCAGCCTGGCAATCCCGCAGCAGTCTCTCTCGAACCTTGGCTCGACGATGGGGGGGCACTGCGCGAGCATCGACAAGGCGGTCGAGAAGCGGGTATGCAAGGTGGAGCACAGGGTGGACCTCCACGACACGAGGATCACCAAGCTCGATGCGGAGCTGCAGGAGCTGCGGGATCTCCTCGGGCCCATGCGGCGCGTGGAGCTGCCGCGCCCGCCGGTGGGCGCAGGCGGATTTGACAGGGGAGATCGACCCGGCGATCATCGCGGCGCGCGCTCAAGTGCCACTACCGCGAGAGCAGGTCGCCAAGGCGGTTGGGCCGTGGCCCGCCGATTGTAATATGTCCCCAGCGGACTACTCCGCGGAGTTCGAGCCCGCGGACAAGCGCTTCCAGGTGGTGGTCAAGGGCCAGAAGGCCGATGCGTCGAGACGCGCGGGACAGGCCGCGGGCGCCCCCGGGCTTCCCGGGCGAGGCGCAGAGGAAGATCATGACTCCAGCGCCGATGGGCGGAGCCGATGTGGAGCTGTCGATCAGCACGGGCAAGAGCCCGATTATGGTGGCGAAGAAACTGGGGTACGAGAACATCCAGCGCCCCCTCTCGGCGCTGCATCGTCAGCGTCGCTTTTTGTGGATGAAGAGACGGGGGTGGTCAGCGCGGGCTGGGTAGAGCTGGCCAGCTTCGACCCTGTTCCTGGATCACAGCCTCCGAAGATCCACCTCTGCGTCGAGAATTTGGGCGCTCCGGGCATGGGCTCGGATGCGATCCGCCGCGCCGTCGCCCAGCTCTTCGAGCAGTCAGAGGCGACAGAGCGGTGCCTTTAGCAGTCTCTTGCAGGCTTGGCGGGGGTCATCGCCTTGCCGCTCGAGCTCGGCGATCGCGAGCTGGAACGCTCGAGCGCTGCCACGCCGCGACCTGGGCCCCCGTGGGAAGACAATCGCCTATCTCCGGAAACTCTTGCCCCCGTCCACCATCCTCGGGATCCAGGGATCTCGCGGGGCTCTGGCGGAGGTTGAGGTTATGGTGCGTCATGCCCATAAGTCAGTCAAGATGCGTCGCGCCATCTTCGACGGCGTCGAAGGCCTCGAGAGCGCCAGTGTCGGTGGTATGCTAACATTATGTCCAGACTTGGGTGCCCTTGTTACCTGCCGCCCGAGAGTGCAGTCAACCCGCGGAGTGAGGATGAACAACTTGCCCTAGGTTACCCTTGTACCCTTGCCCCTTCGGTACATCCCTGGCAACTTTTGCTGGCCAGCCCCGTGGGGTGCCCTTGGGGCGGGCTGCGTCCTTCGGTTGCGCGGCGCGACGCCCCTGGGGGCCAAGCCTAACGGGCGCGCGATGGGCAGGGCACCCTTGGCCATCCTCGGGCCCCCCGTCCTTTCACTCGTGGTGGGCCGTGGCCCTTGCTCGACCTTGCCGCCGCAGTCTGTAGCGCGTGGCGCGCCGTGGGGGCGCCGCGAAGGATGCGGGCCAGGCAGGCCGCCCTCGCGCACCCCCCTCGGCGCCGCAATGCGCGCGCCGTCGCGCGTCTGGCGAGCAACGCGCGGCGCCCTGGCGCGCCCTCGCCGCTGCGCTGTGCCCGCAGGGGCGCGCGACCTTCAAGGGCGCCCTTGCATCCTTGCGTTTTGTGCTTGTGCTCCAGGCGCCAGTTTGGCAAGGATGGGGGCGCGTTTGGGCGCCCTTGCGTCTTTCGGAACGTTCGCAATTTTGGCCCCACGAGGGATGAAAAGCTCCAGGTAACCAAAGCGACCAAGAACACTTTCAAGAGGCGGAGCGCATTCCCGACCGCGCCTTGATGATTCTGGCCGGGGGTTTCAACGTCAGGCCGCGCCCGCCTCGCCTGATGGGGCGAGCGGCCCCCAGTTCCAGCCGAGCTCCGGCCACCGCGAGCGGCGAGCGAGCAGGGTCCCTTTCTGGCAGGACCTCTTTAGCAAGTTAGTCGGAGTGGAGCAGCCAGACCCGACCCACTACAGCTTGGCGAACGATTTCGCGAACTCCATAGATCGATTATTTGCGTCTCTCCCTCGGTGGGGCCTTGCGCAGTTGAGTGCCAATGGGGATGGCGAAAGACCTGGTCGAAGTTTTGTGCCACTCGGACATCTCGGATCATGCCCCCACCTGGGTTGGCCTCAAGAGTGCCCCGAGGGCCCCCCGAGGGGTCGCCCAATCCCCTAGGCAATCTTCAGCTCGTGCTACTTCCAGAGTTTCATGGGGGCCCATCTTGGCACGGTCTCTCGGGGGGGCCTCTCGCCGCCGCTGAGGGTAGAGTCCGATGAGTATCTCAATGTGGCAGGAGCCAGGTTTGCACGCAACGCCATTCTGCATCAGGACCCCTCGTCGAGGGTTGCTCGCATCATCCTTCGTCGATCGGCCGCTCGGGCGGCTTGGGGGCAGGATTCGAAGCTTGGCCCCATCCCCTTGCAGGCGCAATCGTTGCTGCCCACTCTTTGCTCGGCCTTGACGCGTGTAGCGGGCGTCTTTGCCTTCTAGATCCAAATAGGTTTGCAGAGGGCCGCAACCAGCTGCAATCTGCCGACCTCGAGGCCCAGATGGCCGCCCTCCAGAGCAGCTCCCAGGAGGATGCCCCAGAAAAGCTTGGTAGGAAACGATGTCATCAGCAACGGAGGCCTCGAAAACGCGCTGCGAATTGGGCCCCGTGCGACAGGGGGCTGCATTTGAAAAGGGATCAGATTAGGTGACGAGGTGGCCGCGGCGCCCGAATCGATGTCCATTGCGATATGCTGCTGCTGGCAATAGGTTTTTGGTCCCAAAGTTGTTTTCCAGATGCGCGCAGACACCTGGATGGGCAGATTTGGAGGTGGCGTGGATTTCTCCGATCCCTCGCTTGCTGGAGTACGGCAGAGGCTGCGGACTCTGGAAGGCTGCGCGCCAGGCCCAGATCGGCCCCCGCACGCGGCACGGCGCTCCTCCCCCCATGGCAGCGGAGCTGCTCGACGAGCTTCTATTGTGGAGCTCCCCTCTCCAGCTCCAATTCCCTTCTCGGCATCTTCGTTCCCAAGGGGGAGGATTGGGGCCGACGAGCACGGCGCCGCCCGCGATGTCAGTCCGCTGCGGCCTCTCGGTTCGAAGAACCCGGGGAATGATATTCTCACCGGGCTGGTGGTGCGCCTTTTTTTCGGTGAAGATGGCGGAAATGCGCTGCGGGTTTCAGAGGGGCTCCACCATCGGTCCGAAACTCGGGGGGAATATCATGAGCTGGATACCATGTGCGTCTCGCGTCGACTTCGGATAACGCGGAGGAGGGCCTTCCCGCCATCTTCTCCCACGGCTTTGTCCAGGCGCCCCCCCTCAGTCTCGCACGCCAGGATGATGAAAGTCATGGGGCGAGTGGGCCTCCCTGAGCCGATGTTCTGGTTCTTCCTGGTCTTTTACCACAGCGCGCAATGTTTCGGTGCCCTGGGCGGCCCCGCGGCTCGGCTTTTCTGGATCTGGTCTGAGATCATCCACGGGCGCCCAGCGAGCGGCGCTCTATTCGCAGCGAGCTCGCACCCTTTTCTCGCCGGACTTTGGCCAGCTTCGCGGGCAAGCATAGGGGCTTCATTTCTGCTTGCGCCGACGACCTAGGCGGAGTAAACCCGAGGCTACGGCCCATCGCAGTGCACTTCCAATGGGCTCAGAAACTCGCGGCCCTCAGCCTGGAAACGGCGACGTGCTTCATTGCCCCGTTAAGCGCCCCCTTCTCCGCCGAGCTGGCAACAATGTACTCGGAGGCCCTCTCGGAGCTGGTCCCTGAATGGTCCGTCTTTGTCGCGGCCCCTAACTTTCAGTACCTGGGGATGTGGGTGGGGCCGGACTCGCATGACACATCGCGGCTTGGGCCTCCTGGGAAATGGCGCCCTCGGGGGCGCTAGCTAGCAGGGGCCAGCCCACCCGCCCAAGTCGCTGCCCAGCTTTATTCGTCAAGATGTGCAACGGCACCCGCACGTTGCCCAGTTCTGGCCGCCGCCGCAGCAGCTGCGCGGGCAAGAGGCCGCGATGTTGGCCAAGTTTTCCACTTCCCGCATTGTGCCCTGAGCAGGCTGGGATGGTTCAGTATGGGGAAATGGAGTGGGCCTCGCATTGCTTCTATCACCCTCTCCGCCCACGCCGCCCACGTTCATGCTGCCCCCTCGGCCTTCGCTTCCTGATGGCCGAGATTAGCGCGGCGCCTTCGAGAGCAGGTCCCCGGGAGGCTACCGATCGTGGCTGTCGCGCGCGGTGAACGGGCCCCGCATTGGTGGGGGGGCGCCTTGCGCCAACGTCTGATGCTCGCCGCCGCTGGCTTTCCTGACGACCCCAAACTGAAGCATCTGGCACCAGGGTCTGGGGAGGTTCGAGGACTGATGGCCGAAGCTGCCGCTGCGGCCCGCGATGGCCGCCGCCCGCGCAGGCTCCGTCTACAGCGAACTCTGATGGCCTTCTCCACGGCCACCCTTCTTCCCGCGGGCGCCCCCAGGTTTCTCTTCACCCGACGGCTCTGGAGCTGGTTCCCCGACCTTGGGCCGAACATCGGGGCCATCGATTGGCCAGCGGTCTCTCTGAACACGTCCAAGTTAAAGGTCTCACACGCGTTTGCCATCGTGTGAACGCTCTCGGAGGCTTGGCTGACTCAACGAAGTTTCCAGCAGACGGGAGCCCCCAGTGTTCTCGGATGCGCTGCCGCCCACTTCGCGCGGCACTACTGGGCGCGCCCAGTATTGCGGGAGTTGCTAGTCGAGTGGGTGGGCGAGGGTCTTGGTGACGTGAAAGGGTGGGGCGGGATCGACACGCTTCGGCTCCTTGCGCCGTCGCCAGCGCGTCCCGGGGTCCCTGTGGCACTGTGCCCTTTTTACGCAGAATTGAGGGCCAGACGTGTCCGCATCATGCGGCCCCTCACCCGGAAGGAAGCCGCCGCCCTCGTTCCTGCAGTGCGCGCTCGGCTGCTTCGGTAGCGCGCGCGGGTCAGGGCGGACAGACAGAACGCTCGGCCACGCGCGAGGAGGGAGAAGGGAGGAGGGAGGGCGGAGGGAGGAGGGACGAGGGGGGAAGGAGGCGGGAGGAGGGGGGGAGGAGGAAGGAGGAGGGAGGAGGAAGGGAGAAGGGAGGAGGGAAGAGGGAAGAAGGACGAGGGAGGGAGGAGGGAGGAGGGCCCCCCCCCCATCCTCCCAATTCCGCCCCCTTGCTGTCCGACGCGCGGATGCCGCCAGGGTCGCAGCTGGGCCTCTGCGGGTCGGAGTCCTCGTCGCCCTTCCTGGTGCGCGCGCCTGCGCGCCGTCGCCGCCCTCGTCGTAGTCGTTGCCGTCGTCGTCGCCGCCGCGTCGCCGCCGCCGCTCGCGCCGCCGCCACCACCGCCGCCGCTTGCATTGAGTCGGGCGTGTCCTTCGACAGGAGGAATATTCACACACACGCAAAAAAATGTCACGGGACGATGATTTGAATCGTTTGTTTTGGTTTCGCGTATTGGTTTATCTTCTCCGTCCCAAATCCGCCTGTGACATGCCCGACCCATAACGCTTGCGCTTGCGCCATCGTCTCCGTCGGCGTGGCCGTCGTTTTCCCCATGGCCCCTCTCGCCTCCCCAACAGCTCCTGCTGACGGGCTCTTGTGCCCCCCGTGCTCGGCCTCCCGGGTCCCCGGTTCAGGGCCTCGGGGCCCTCGGAGCGCTGCCCCCCCCCAGCCGCGAGGTCTCTCGGAGGACGGGGGCCGAGAGCCTTGGAGGCCCCGCGTGCTGCAGGAGGCCAGGAGGCCAGAGGTGTTCGAGCAGGGACGGGGGAAAGAGAAACAGAGAGAGAGAGAGGGAGAGAGAGAGAGAGGGAGAGAGAGAGGGAGAGAGAAAGAGAGAGATGGAGCGAGAGGGAGAAGGAGAGCGAGAGAGAGAGAGAAGGGGACAGAGAAACGCGATTGAGGGAACGACAAACATATATATATATATATATACATGCTAAGAAACAAACGGAGAGTTAGAGAGAGAGGGAGAGAAACAGAGAGCAACGCATCTGCGTGTGTACACATATATCAACGACGGCGGTACGTGCTATTGAAATGACAGTGGGCATGGAGAGAGAGAGAGAGAGAGAGAGAGAGAAAGAACTAAAGAAATAAAGAGAGAAAGAGAGAGAGAGAGAGAGTGAGGGTGACGTATCCCAATTAATGTATATGATGAAAAAGAGAGAGAGAAAGAGAAAGAGAGAGAGAGAGAGAAAACAACAAAACATCAAAACAACACAGAGAGAGAGAGAGAGAAAAAAAAAACAAGAGCCACAGACAACAGACGCGAAGAGAAACATCAATGAGAGAGAGAGAGAGAGATCCCGATCCCGCGCCCGCGTCGCCCTCGGTCTTCCGCGCCTTCGTGGACGACCGCTCGGCGCAGCCGGCAGCCAGGCCCCGGCCCGGCGGGCGGACGCACAGCAGCAGGGAGGCGGCAGCCAGCAGGCAGGATAGGCTGGAGGCGAGGAGGAGCGGACGGAGGACGGAGGTCGCAGGATGCGAGAGGCAGGGCGGGGGAGAGAGGAAGGACGGAGTGGGAGGGAGGAGGGAGCGGAGGAGAAGGAGGAGGCATGGGTGCAGAGGATGATGAGGATCACATGGAGGAGGAAGAAGAGGAGGAGGAGGCGGAGGAGGAGGAAGAGGAGGAGGAGGAGGAAGATGGAGGAGGATGGAGGAGGATGGAGGAGGATGGAGGAGGATGGAGGAGTAGGAGGAGGAGGTGGAGAAGGAGGAGGACGAAGAGGAGGAGGAGGAGGAGGAGGAGGAGGAGGAGGAGGAGGAGGAGGAGGAGGGTAGGAGGAGGAGCAAGAGTAGGAGGAGAAGTGGGAGGCGGAGGAGAAGGAGGAGCAGGAGGAAAAGGGAGGGAGGGAGGGAGGATGAGCGAGGAGAGCGGCGATGATGGTGATGATGATGATGATGATGATGATGATGATGATGATGATGATGATGATGATGATGATGATGATGATGATGATGATGATGATGATGATGATGATGATGAAGCGGAGAAGCAGGTGGAGGACGACAATGAGGGACGGAGTTTGGAAGATGAGGAGTAGAGAGGAGGGACGAATGATGAGGAGTCAGGAGGCCAGCAGGCCAAGCCGCCAGATGTCAGGACAGGTGGCAGCATGGAATCGGGGCGTCGATGGACGTATCAGAGGACGATGTGGAGATGTGCCAGGGGGCCTCAGTGACCGAAGGCCTGCTGCAGCCGCCGCCGTGCCACTGGGAGGCGACGCTGCGCAGGCTCGCAGCCCTCATAATCGCGCGACGGGGTTTCGCTATATCCATATGGCTCATATTTAGATTACTGTGTATATATTGCTTGACGCACAGCTCTACAACACATTTTGACTGGCAACGTCAAAGTGCTTGCCACTTGCACTACCATGACCCCGCGTCGTCCCGACAATCACTACCTATCCGTGCGTTCTTCTGGTTGCCCCACATACTGTTCCAAAAGGAGCCAGTGACGGCCCATGTGGTGCCCAATACAGCCCAAGAAAATTAGACGCGCCGAGCGGGCCGACCGAGAAGCTCCAGACGACCCAAGAATGCACCAAGACGTCCCAAGACGGCGACCCGAAGGGCCCCGCAGGGTGGTCCTCGAAAGGATTCGTATGAGGCTCTCGCGGCGCTCGTTGTAGTTTACACGGGGGTTGTGGTTTCGGGAGCGCGAGCTCCCTGGAATCCACAAGCGGTTGCGGCCTCGGAGTGCGATTGTGTACAGTAGGGGGCCCGACCACAAGACACCTTCCACAAGAAACCCAACCCTGAGACCCCAGGACGCCCATTGATGTTTTATATGGGAGCGCCACCATTTCCTTAGCAAAATCATCGAAACCCAGGAAACCCAGGGCCCGCTGGAGGCACGCAGGGAACTTCTTGGCATGGGCCTCCACAATAGTAGTGCATGCAAGGGCTGTGGCCTCGGGGGCCTCGAGCTCGCAGTTCTTTGCCCCGAGGGTCGTGGCTTCGTCGGGAGCGCGAATGTATACCGTATGTTGCGTGTCCATGGGCACCGCCATACGTTCGGACAGCGTGATTCTGGGGTGGTTTGGGAGGGGCATCTCCCCCCCCCTCCCCCCTCCCCCCTTCCCCCCCCCCCTCCCTCGCGGATTGGATCTTTACGCTCTTGGAGCAAGACCAAAGAGAGCTACATGAAGCAGCACATGTGGAGCCATGACTGTGGCAGAGGACGAGAGCATCTACGCCTCGCAGCCTGTTTGCCCCAAAGGGGCTAGCGGATATAGACGAATAGGTGTATGTAACCTCTGTGCGCATGGTTTCTTGCTTCTTACAGTGTACATGTGTATGCACAAGGATAGATGTTTAACATTCGTATACACAAGTATAGACTCATCTAAATAAATGTGTACACATCTGCGCAAACACACGTCGCTCTTTCTCTCTCTCTCTCTCTCTCGGTCTCTCTCTCTCTCTCTCTCTCTCTCCTCTCTCTCTATCTCTCTCTCTCGCTATTTCTGAATCTCTCTCTCTCTCTCACTCTTTCTTTATCGTTTTTCTCCCCTCTCTCTCTCTCTTTCTCCCCCCCCCCCCACGCTTACTCCTTTCACTCGCTTGCTCTCACATCTCACTCCCTCCCTCACGCCTTCCCCGATCCCCCTCCCCCTCCCCTCCCTCCCTTGCGGGCGAGATTTGTAACCAGACCCGCTGCAGCCAGGAATTCGGGACTCCCTTCCCAAGAATTCCGAGGCGCCCTGGATATGGATAGCAAACTTGTCCCTACGCGCTGGGTTTTTATCCATGACCAGTGCGCCTCGGCTTTCTGGCGCCACTTCCAGAAAGTCCAAAGCTCAGTGGAAATGGGTATGGTATAGATCCTGCTCGCATCCTGTACTTCTTACCATCTCTCTCTCTCCCTCTCTCTCGTTCGGTCTCCTCTCTCCTTCTCTTTTTCACTCTGTGCGGGAGGGCATCATCTCATAATCAACGGGTAGGAACAGTACGGTCTCTCTCTCTCTTTCTCTCTCTCTCTCTCTCTCTTTGTTTCTATATGTTTCTCTTATTGTCTCTCTCCCTCTCTCTCGTTCACGCTTGCCGCAAGAGTGTCTATTAGCATGCGCTTTCATTTCGGCATGGCTCGTGGGAGGCAATTGCCAACGCCCTAGCGTTATCCGTTGCCCTCAAAGTAATTGACAACTTCCCGAGTGGGTGGGGGCTGCCGAGCGATGTCCTTAGCACGACGGCAAAAAGGAATGAATTTGGGAATTCCGCGGGGGTGGCGGTTCTAGCGAGAGAATGAAGCACTCCGATTGAGGTCCTGTTGAAATCTGATTGGTTTTTAGTTGGAATCCGATTGGGGTCTTGTTGCGGTCCTATTCGGATCTTGGTGGTATCCCGCACTGGGGAGACTGGGGGGAGGGGGCTCATCATCGGGGGCGGGGAGCGCTGGAGACCCTTCCACAGGAAAGGGGGGGGCTCGAGATCTGCTTTCTGCGCAGGCCGTTGGCAGCTCTGCTTCTGAACCCTCTCTCCTCCGCTTTCATCACCCGCTTTCCTCCTCCTCCTCCTCAATCCTCCGCCTCCTCCTCCTCCTCCTCCTCCTCCTCCTCCTCCTCCTCCCCCTCCTCCTCCCCCTCCTCCTCCCCCTCCTCCTCGTCCTCCTCCTCCTCCTCCTCCTCCCCCTCCTCCTCCCCCTCTTCCTCCTCGTCCTCCTCCTCCTTTTCTCTCACGGACACGGGGGGGCACTCGCCCGCCGCGCCTGCAGGCGCCCACGGTGGCTCCGGGGCTGCTGCCCCCCGTGCCGGCTCAGCCCAGCCCGCCCTCCCCGCCGCCGGCGCTGCCGGCGGCGTCGCCGGCGGCGCCGAGCGGGTGCTGCCTGGAGCTGGAAGGGCAACCCGAAGAAATAAATCAGGAGGGAAGGAACCACACAGACACAATTATTCGTCGATTCCCCAGAAAATATGGGACAATGTGGGAAGTGTGGGGGGAGACAAAAACCAAGAAAATATTAGGAAATATGGAAACTATTCTTGTGTGTGAGTGTGTCCCAGGGCCCCTTCCATAAAAGCGCCACAAACATGAAGTGTTGTCGTTTGTGGCGCTTGCTTTCCTTCTAGCAAGCCTTGCGATCCTGGCGCCGCAATACATGTCGTCGTTTCGCTCGCTCCGCCGGCCCATCTCGTATTGTGTTCGTGGCGGGTGAGGAGGGGGAGGTGGAGGAGGAGGAGCAGGAGGAGGAGGATGAGGAGGAGAAAATAGACTCTTGATGGCTTCTTGGGGCACTCTTGGGTCCAAACTAGGTCGTGGTCAAGACGCCTCTTTGGGAGGCTTCTTGGAGTCTCTTCGGCGGCCTCTCGGCGGCCTCTTGGTGGTATTTTTGGGACCACCTGGGGCCTCTTGGGGGCCTCTTGGGGCCCATTGGGCACACCCCGAGATGCTGGGGTTGCAGTTTGTTCACACTGGGCGTTTTCGCGCTGTTTCGGGCCCTGGGACCATCACAGATCAATCACGCTGAGTTTTTTCGCCAGGTTTCGGGCCCCAGGGCGGTCACATATCGATCCGCCGCGAAAGAAATACTCAGAAAGAAAGCGTGTGGGGCTCTGTCCGTGATGTCTCGCAATGTTGGTGTTTTTTGTTGTTGGATCTCGGGGAAGCGCTGCACAGCACATAACATCGCTGAGGTCCGCGTGGGTTTCTTGGGCCAGCGCTGGACCCCTCAGACTCAAGAGGGAAAGGACACACAGACCTGAGTGGGCCCTGGAAACGACAGGGCCGTTTTTTTTCCAGTTCCGTTTTGCCGTTTTTGTTGCCGCCGTTTTTTTTTACGGGTTCCGTCGCCATTTTTTGACTGGTTCCGGCTCCGGTTCCAATCCTGAAACCGTTTTTGTTGCTGTTTCCGGTCGCCGTTTTTTTGCCGTTTCCATTTTCAAGGGACACTTTTTCGGAAACGGTGAAAAAACGGCCCGGGACCCACTAAGACACAGACACAAACAGTGGTCGATCCCCAGGAAGATGTGTAGAAAATGCGGAAAGTGGCGGGGAAAAGCCGCGCACCCAGTATACTTGCATCGGATCTGCTGGGGTCTGGGTACCCAGGCCCCCGACGCCATGATTTTTCATAATGTCGACCCCCTGAGGTCTCGACCCATTCCCTGGGACCGGTTTCTCATCCTGGGTTATTTTTTGACGGTCCCGAGGCCCGGCGAGGGCCCCCAGATGCCCAAAATGGCAAAAAAGCACCTCCCGTCATGATTTTTGTCAGTGTTCGAGGGGGTCTTGGTATGTGGATGTATGTGTCCCTGGGCCCCTTTCCCAGACCTCCCAGGCCGTGACCCTGTCGACCCCGGGCGCGCTTTCTCGATGCTAGGCCTCGGGGGGCCCCGCGCTCGGGCCCCAGAGGCCAAGGCCTGGCCTGACGGCGATGTCGCTCAGCGGTGATGCTGGGCACCAGATGTCCCAGTGAGCCACGAGCCGCACTCTCCCAGATTCCCAATCTGCCAAGGGATCGAGCGAGCACGACAGATCGAAGTGCAGGACAGCGCGAGCCACGCGTGCCCACACGACCGAGACCTACACATCGCCGCTGCTCACATCGCCGTTGGCCCTTCCACTGCGGCAGGGGCTCTCCAAAGCTGCTCCGGGACGCAGCACGCAGCCAGAGATCCGACGCTCCGCAAACACAAGTGGCATGCATGCCCTGGCTCTTGCACCAAGGAGCTGCGAGGGACAGGAGGCTTTCGCCTCCTTCCTCCAGGAGTGTCCGGGGGGGAGGACGAAGGACGAACGAACGAACGACGACGACGAACGAAGATAAAGAGGTCCGAGCTCTAGAACACAGCTGTGCAATATCATAAAAGCAATTGAGCAGCCGGTCTTTGGCAGCTTGTCGGCCTCCTTCGGCCCCTCGCCGGGCTTGTCGGGGCCGTCAGAGCGAGCGAGTCGGGGGCGAAGCGCGGGCCCTGCGGGGAAGGCAGGGCTCGTTTCGATTCCTCCGATTCGATTCGATTCGATTTCGATGGCTTCCGATTCCCATTCGATGCGACTTTGGATTCCGATTTGGATTCCGATTTCTCACTAGAGGCTTACTGGCCTGCCGATTTCCGCCGATTCGACTTTCCCGACTCGGGTGCCGATTTCCGCCGAGCCGTTTCATGTCGATCGCCGATCCGATTTGTCGATTCGCTTCTGGGCTCGCCTGGGAAGGGATCCAGACCTCTGGCCTCTGGTGGGCCGCGCCTCAAAAGACTTCTGTTGGAGCAGCCGGGCGTATGGGGACCCGGGGCGCAGAGCTGGCCCCCCCCCGGGAAAGGTCGGGGGGAAGCGTCTGGACTCGAGCACCTCTGCCGGAGCTCGGGTCTGCCGACGCTTTCTGTGACGAGCGCGTCCCCGATTTTGACGGTCCAGTTGTCGTGGGCTGTCTTCCGCAGGAGCTCGCGCCGAATTTCCGACCGGGGCTCGTCATCTTCATGAGCGGCCCGTCGCGCCAGCCCGAGTCCCCCGAACCCGAGTCTGACGTCTCCCCCGAAGAGGGGCTGGGAGCTCTGGGGCCGCGGATGGAGTACAGTGGAGGCCAGTCCACGAGAAGCCGTCCACAAGAAAGCCATCCCTGAGACCCCAGGGCGTCCACGGATTTTTGGTGCGGGAGCGCCGCGCCTTCCACAGCACAACCATCGAAACCCAGGAAACCCAGGGCACCCTGGAGGCAAGCCGGGTGTCTCTTGGTATGGGCCTCCATTGCCTTGGCGCGCCATGGGGGAGGCGTTTTGGGGCGCCGCCTCGGCCCTGGGAGCTCCGCGCGGAGCCCCCGGCAGTTGTGAGGCTTATGTCAAGAGCACGCCCTCGAGGGCGCGAAGTTCTTCGCGGTTCTCCTCCTCCTCCTCCTCCTCCTTCTCCTCTCCCTCCTCCTCCTCCTCCTCCTCCTCCTCCTCCCTCCTCCTCACTCTCCTCCTCCTCCTCCCCTCCTCCCTCCTCCTCCTCTCCTCCCTCCTCCTCCTCCTCCTCCTCCTCCTCCTCCTCCTCCTCCCTAGCATACCCCCGGAATTCCGTCTTTAGCGTCGGCTGACGTCGATTAACGTCTGGGAGTCGATGGGATAGCCTGATTTAGCGTCGATTCGCGTCGATTTAGCGTCGACTAGCGTCGATTCGCATGAGCCGACAAGATGGTACTGGAGGCTCCCATGAGTTGCCACCGAAGATTTATCCTCATCCTCCTCTTCTTCCCTGGTGGGCTGGTGGGTGGCGCGAGAGCGCGGAGTTATTCGCGCTTCTTGGAGCGCGAAGCGCGAAGTTTGGCTCCCTGTCCCCCACCCGGCAGCTGGGGGGCTTGGTCAGACTTGCAGAGAGGATCTCCCGACCCGCCCCGCGCACCCAGCATATACCGCTGCTGCCAGGCCCAAAGGTCGCCAATGGAGGAAATTGGTCCAGGGGGAATTGGTCCAGAGGAAATTGGTCCTGAGGTTATTGGCCGTGTTCGGGCTCTCGGTGTCCTCCACGGGCCCCAGGAATGTCAGAAGACGATTCGGGATGAAGAACTGGTCCTGGGGGAAGCCCCCCGTCCAGGACCCGTTGCGCTCAGGACCCGCTTCCACCATGCTGAAAAATATGTTGTCGCTTGGGTATCCCGCCTCGTTCGCTCGAGTGGGGATCGCTCGAAGCAAGATAGTGCTTGTCCAGCTGTTTTGCTCACTCCACAGGAGTGCATCTACGCGAACGCCTGCGACGTGGCGTTGCTGCCGCCCGAGAGCAGGCGCATCGCCCTGCCGTCAGACGCCGCGCTTCGGATCGGTCGCCAGCACCAGGTCGGCTTCTTCGAGCGCCTGCTGCATAGGGACGAGCACTCCCTGAGCTTCATCTCGCGCTCGCATCTGGAGGTCACCCCAGTGGATGGTGATCCTTCAGGTCAGAGGGTCTCAACTGGTGACCACGGTCGTTGGCCTCTGGGCGACACCCTTGCCGCCATGGCTCGATGCAGCTCGGAAAAACTTGTGTTTGGGGGGAAGACCACCTTGGGCTGCCGGCGTCTCCACTCGCCCTACTCCCCAGCAGGTGCCTTCAGGATCTCGAACCTCAGCGCGAACCCCGTCGGTGTGGGCCCCAATCAGCTCGGCAAGGGCCAGAGCGCGGTGGTCCACATGCCGGCGCACGTGCTCTTCCTGTGCGGGCTGAACCCAGGGGCGCCGACCTGCTTCCTGCGGCTGTCGCTGGAGAGGCCCGGCGGAGGTGCGCCGGCCGCGCCGATGCCCGGCACCACCCCGATCCTGCCGCCTCCCGCGGCGGGCCCTGCGCCGCCTGCGGCGGCGCCCACGCAGGATGTCATCCGGCCGATGGCCGCCGGCCCCGAGGCCGCCGGCCAGGGGGCCGCCCCGCGGCAGGTGCGCGGCACAGTCCCAGAGATCCGAGGATCTGAATTCGTCGATCCCGCGTTTTATCGAAGATCCCAGAGATCGAAGGATCCCAGAGATTGAATTCTTCGAATTTGAGATCCCAGAGATCGAAGGATCTGAATTTTCTTAAGTTTTGGCCTCCGGGGCCCGTGATCGGCCCGGGGACCATCAAACACGGATCCGGGACGAAAAGGTGAACGTGTTTTCTATTCGTTGTTTTGCCGATCGGCGCGGGCCCGCGCACCCCTCCTTCCCCCCCCCCATGGCCCATGGAGTGGATCTTGGCAGGTTTGGGCGCCTGTTTCGAGCAGGTGGAGCCTCCCCCGTAGGACGCACTGTTGCAAACAGTCGCGCTAAGCAGGGGCCCGGAGCCAGAACCCCTCCCACTGGGCCCCCTTCCCCCCCTTCCGCCCTATGTCGAAACGCCGAATAGGAAAACGTTCACAAAGCACCCCTGGGGAAGGGGTCGGGACCTCCTTAGGGCCGCGGATTGAAAGGTCATATCGGCGGATGTCTGGCGGAAGCAGGGCCGTCGGGAAACGGGGCCCCCTTCACCGACACTGTTGGGGAAACGTCGGCTCCGAGTACGCCAGAACTCAGGTTTGGCCAACGCTTTTCTTGACGAGCGCGTCCTGGATTTTGACGGTCCAGTCTTCGTGGGATGTCTGCAGCGGGAGCTCGCGTGAAATTTCAGACTGGGTCTCGTCATTTTCACGATGTTCCCGTCAGGCCAGCCCGAGTCCCCCGAACCCGAGGCTTACGTCTCCCCGACACTTGCGCGTGAGCTAGCCTTAGGTCGGGCCTGTGCCAGAGGGATATTGGGCGAAAAATCGAAAATAGGCAAACAAATATTCAAAACCAAAATGTTCGAAAATTAGCCTGGCGAAGGACCCAACCATATGCAGCTGCGAGTGCCGCACGGATATGAGACGAAGGAGGGGGCACGCAAACTAGGCCCCTCTTCTCATAGGCACCGCGCCACTGGGGCCTTCGGTGGAGCTCCCTATGGGGCCACGAAACGTGTGAGGGGTGTGCCGAAATGGGTGGTGGGGAGGCATGCGGACCCTGCCACTGGGGCCTTCGGTGGAGCTCCCTATGGGGCCACGAAACGTGTGAGGGGTGTGCCGAAATGGGTGGTGGGGAGGCATGCGAACGCAGCCACTGGGGCCTTCGGTGGAGCTCCCTATGGGGCCACGAAGCGTGTGAGGGGTGTGCACAAATCGAGCCGCGCGTGGAGGGCCTCGACCCCGCCTGCTGCCGCCGTCGGTGGGAGCGGCGCGGCGCGAGGCTGCCCCCCGCGGGCGGCTGCGACGGGCCCAGGCCCGACGCACCGCCGCTTGGGCGGCCTCGCGCCACGCCTGCGTGCAGCAGACAGGGCGGAGGGTGGGAGAAAGAACGCGCGCCAGGGAGGCACCCGCCGCGCGCGCGCGCGGGGCGCGCGCGCGGCGCCTCCTCCAAATGCAAATCGCCTGCGAAGCGCACGCGCCGCGGGGGCAGCGACCCCCCCCCGCGGCGACGCAACCCCGGCGCTAGCAAATCACCTGCGAAGCGCACGCGCCGCGGGGCAGCGACCCCCCCCCCGCGACGCGCAACCCTGGCGCGCGACGGCGCGATGGCCCGCGCCTGCGCAGCGAGGCCGCGGTCGCGTCGCACTGCCGCGCGCGCGACCTACGCGCAACCGTGGCCGATTTGTGCCCGCCCACAACGGTGAACGTCCGCGTCTGCGAGCGGACTTGCCGCCGTGGGCCTACCACAAATCGAGCCGCGCGTGCAGGGCCTCGACCCCGCCTGCTGCCGCCGTCGGTGGGAGCGGCGCGGCGCGAGGCTGCCCCCCGCGGGCGGCTGCGACGGGCCCAGGCCCGACGCACCGCCGCTTGGGCGGCCTCGCGCCACGCCTGCGTGCAGACCCAATGCCACACGGCACGCAGGCGACACGGGCCGGCAACGCGCGCCCACCCGCTGCCGAACGCGCGGGGGCAGAGCACGGGCGCCGTCGCGCGCACCCGCCCACGCACAGAAGCGAAACGTGGCGGCGCTGGCCGCCAGCGCCTAGCAGGCACCCTCGTCCGAATCCGACTCCAGCATGTGCGCCTGGCGCGAGCAGCGCGCCGCGGCGCGGGCGGAGGGCGCGTGGCCCCGCCTCCACGACCGCGTCCCTTTCCAGATCGTCACGGTCGAGATACGCCATGAAAGCGCAGGACCGCCACTCCCCGGCCGCGAGAATCTCGGCCAGCGTCGCGCCAGCCTCCTGCAGGTCCTTGGCGTGGCCCCTGCGGAGGTCATGCAACCGAAACAGGCTCGCCCCCTGGACACCGAGGGCAGCGAGCATCTCGCGCAGGGTCCGCAGCGCAGCAGCCGCCGAGATGCCTCCGAAGAGCCCGCGGCCCAGCCCGCAACGCGCCACCCAGGGGCCCAGGGTGTGCACGGGGCACGTGGCGCGGCACGATGAGCACCAGCACTTCCGCGACAGGCGACTGCCCTGCGGCCGGTTCTTCCGCCGCCGCAGCAGCAGCGTGAGCTCCGATTTGCCCAGCACTAGCGCCGCTTGAAAGGGCGGCGCGTCGCCGGCGTCGGCCACGCGCACGGCCGGCAACGCCTCGCTGGGAACACGCAACAAGAACGTGTAGGCGAAAAGGAAAAGCATCGACGCGCGGAGCCACTCGGGGCGGCGCGCGCCCAACTCGACCAGCGCGGCGACCGCGCTCTTACGGATGAACAAGCGCGGGCGCGGAGTCCAATCGGCCCGCGCCCGGACGGCGGCGCGCGCACGCCTGACCTCGGGGCGGTCGAACACGGCGACGCAGACCCCAGTCAGGAGGCAGCCGATCTTAACGTAGCTGCAGTAATTTGCGTACGTCTCCCCGCAGCGAAAGAGGGCGCTCCAGGCGACCAGGTCCGCGCAGGCTGGCGGGAGCTGCATGCACGGGTATTTCAACATTATGATGCAGTAGGCCTCCCAGCATTTGAGGCCGCTTCTCACGCTTGGGAGCGACCGTGCGCATGGTTGCAGCATAGCGCGAACGCGTTCCTCCTCCCGCCAGCGGGCCGCGTCCGCCGGACTGCGGAGGCGAGCAGCGGCCTCGGCGAGCGCCGCCCGGGGCCCGCGCGTTATTGGCAGCGCGACCGGCGCGCCCAGCTGGTCGAGGGCGCTCGGGACGGGCGCCTCGCGAGCCACGGCGCGCGGGCATGCGCAAGCGCGCGGGGCCGATGACGCGCGCCTGCGGCGGCCCAGGGGGTGACCCCGGGGCGCTCGGCGCCGCGCGTCTCGCCGGCGACCGGCTGCGGGCGGGCGCGCGCCCTCCAACTGCCGAGCCCACGGCGACGGGCGCGCCTGCGAGGCGCACGCGCGGCGGGGGGGGGGGCCGCGCGCGCCAAAAACCCTCGCGCAGCCGAGCCTCGGCGCGCAGCAATCTTCGCGGCTCTGAATAATTCGTGCAGGACTTCGACATTGGCCTGCGCGGTGACCGGCCAACCTTCCAGGTCTGCGGCGTCTGCACTGGCGAGCTCGCAGGCTCGTGCGAAGCCGTTCTCAGCCAGGAAATCAGCAGCCCAGGCGACGGCCGTCCTGGGCGCTGTCGGGCGCAAGGAACACAATTCAAGGAATAACGACATGATGCCGCGCGGCACGCCTGACAATGCGAGCGACGCGCCTGAGGCACTGGCCGCGTGCACTCCGCTTGCGACAAAACGCGGGGCCCTAGGATGACAAGCGCGGCGGCGCGCCGAACGCTTTGCCGCGCCCAAACTTAAGTATCGCCACGCCCCGACGCGCAAGATGGCACCCGGGCGCGACATGGCGCGCGGTTTAGCCGAAGAGGCGGGCCACAGAGAGAGCGCCCCAGGCATCCGCGTGCCAGAATTCTTCGTCGAGCCACGGGCGCGTGCGCACCGCGCCGATGCGTAGCAGGAGTTCGTCGCCCCCCCTGCGACACGCTGCGCCCGCGGCCAGCCCGCAGCACCGCGCGGCGCGCACGGGCGCGCCGAGAAGGCAAATCGGCCAGATTCTCAGCCGTGGGCACGCGGAAAACCGCGAGGTCAACGTCGAGCTCCACCGCGCGCCTCCACATGGAGTGGACGATGCACGAGTGGTCGAAGGATTTCGCGGCGCCCTTCCGCAGGCAAGACTCCGCGCCGGTATTGTCGCTGTAAATATGCAAGTCGCAACCTTGCACTTCCCCTGAGCGCAGCGAAGACGAGGGGCCGGACCTGCCCGCCGGCGCGGGCAGTCGCACGCGAAAGCAATGCCTGCAAAGGTGCACATGCCCAGCGCGATAGACAGGAGCTCCAGCCCCTGAATCTGGTTGTCCCGGCGACGCTGGAACGACGCCATCAAGGAATCCGGGGCGACCATGGAAGTGAAACGGATGCCCGTGGCGGTGACGAGCACCGCGGCCACGCACGGTGGTTGGCCCGACGCGTCCGCGAAGAGAGTTGCGCGAGGCCGCGCCTTGTCGGCCCACGGCCGCGCTTGGCACAAGTCCATGGCCAAGACCTCGCGCCACCACTGCAGGGCAAGCATCAACGGCTCATGGGCCTTCGATGCCCCGCGATGCGATTGCGCGTACAACGGCCTGCGAGCACGAAGCGCGGCGCCCCGCCCCCCCGGGCGCGCGGGGGCAGCGCCGCGCCTGAGGAGGGCGCGCCCCAGGCGGCGGAAGAGATGCGACGCTGCCCAGGCCAAGCCCCCGGCCAGCTTGGACGATGCGCCTGCACAGCGAACGCAAGGTCCCGACACATTAGGGGGAACGCGCGAGCCGCCTGGCGCGAGGGCGCGCGTCGCGAGCGCCTCGCCGATGACGCGCTGCCACTTGGCGGTCTTCGCGGGTGCGGGACGCGCGCAGAACGCGCGTGGCAGCACCTGGCGATGCGCGCAGCCGGCCGGCCGGCGCGTCGCGCCAAGGCCGCCCCGCCTTGATTTCGAGGCCGAGGATGACCAGCGGGGACCCCCAGGCGATCTTGTCCGGCGCCACCGCGCCTGGGCCGAGCATCAGCTGAATTAGCTCCGCCAGCTGCGCTGCTGCGTGCTCCACCACTTCGGGGTGATCCGGCCCGAAATAATCATCCACGTATCGCAGCGCGGCGATCCGCAAGAGCACGCGCGCCGCCTCCGCGATGAAGGCACCCGCTCGCGCCCAGCTGTGCACCGACGACGTGGCCCCGAAGGGCGCTGCCGCGTGCTGCGCCGCCCAGACCTGCCCGGCGGCGCTGAACACGATCCAAGCGAACCGGCGGTGCTCAGCGCGAATGGGCACGCGACGAAAGGCAGCGTCGATGTCTGCCTTCCAGAGGGCGGGTGCCCGCCCCGCAACTTCCTGGAAGATGCGAGCTGCTTCGAAAAGCGCGTCCACGGCATCGTGGTGGAGCCGCTCCTGAGGCCGCGTCGCCTCGTCAATCCTAGCCTTGGTCATGTCGTCGACCAACCGGAGTTACGAGGACCCGTCTTCACGGAGCTGCTCAACCGCAAACCTCGGGGCGATGACGGCCCCGTCCAGGCACACGTCGCGGAGCGGCACCGGGCAACTGATGCGCCCCAGCTCGGCCTCGTCCCGTGTCTTGCGGAGGATGGCGTCGCCGTGCGCGCCGTCGCGGAGGCCACGGGAAATGTCGCGATTTGTCGACTCGGCGTTGCCGAGCAGCTCCGCGATGCCCAGACGGGGAGGGAACACCTCTGGGCTGCCGTGGCCCGACCGCGGGAGCTCGCCGACGAGGGGCGCCCCCGTCCTGAAGAATTCCACGCAGCCTGGGTCGCAGAAGGCAATGCGCTCCGCGATCTCTGCGCAGAGAGGCCCGTTCACGTGCTGTGCGACGCGCCGCATGGCGGGGTCCACCCCCCGGAACCATTCTTCCACGGCGCCACTGGCCCGGAGAGCCCGATCCCTTTCGCGAAGCGCCGCGAGTTCGCCCTCGCGGAAAGCCACCACGTCGGCGGGGGCGGTCTGCGCGGCCCACCGCACTGCCTCAGCGGCCGTGGGCGGCAAAGCCGAGGCCGCGGCGGGCCGCCACTTGCCCCAGAGCGCGGGGTCGCCGTCCAGCGCCATTGCCAGAAAGGTAAGTTTCTCCGCGTCGCCGCCGCTACAGCCGCCGGCCGCGACGCAGATGTCGCGCCACGCGCTGTCGCTGCAACGCCGAGACCAATCGCTCCTGAATTGCGGCCCTGGTGGCGCTGGCGGCGCCGGCAACACCTGTCGCGCGCCGCTGGCTCGCGCGCGACCGAGAGCCGGGAAAGCGCGCCTTGCGAGATTTGGCGACGACGCATGCAGCAGGCGCCGCCCGCTTTCGCGCGCCAGATGCGGGCGGCGGGGGCGGCGCCGGCACGGCAGGCATTGCACGATATTGCAAGCCGCGGACGTGGACAAGGCGCCAAAGCGCAGCGAAAAGCGCCCTCGGAACGCACGCTGCCCCGCGGAACTCCCCCGCACGCCCCGCCCAGGCTGGCCGCGGCCAAGCCGGGCACCCGCAGCGCGGCGCGGAAAGCGAAGCGGCCTCCGCGGCAACAGCGCACGCGGCATGTCCCAGCACGCGAGCGGGGGTCCTGCGCACGGCGCACGGGGCCATTTTAGTGACAAAGCGTAGAACTATCGGGCGCGCCCGGGTCACGGCCCCGACCCGGCGCGGGCGGAGGCAGGCTTTTGCGCGCGAGCCGTTCTGACGGCTGAAGGGGCTCCACCCCTACGGGGGCTCGCGCGCGCCCTGCCGGGGCGGCGCTCAGCGATGCGCCGGGCGCGGCGGCGTCCGTGCCTTCCTCGTGTCCTTTTTCTTCCAATCGCTGCCCCGCGAGCGCTCGCGCTTCTGGCCCTTCGGCCAATCGCTGCCCCAGGAGCCGCTGCTCCAGCTCTGCGCGGCGCGCCGCGGCTGGCTGGCGCCGCCCGCCCCGCGCGCCTTCTCGGGAGCGCGGGCCGCCAGTGCCTGCGCGCGCGGAAAAGGCGGAGAAAGGTGGCAGAAGCGAATCCGCGCGGCGCGACGCTCGCCGTCGCGTGGGTGGCGCCGTCTTCTTTGTCGCAAGCATCCCGCGCCAGCTGTAGGGCGCGCGGGTCGACCCGCAGGATCGTCTTCCCCAGCTTGAAATCTGGGCCCCCCGAGCGTAGCTGCTCGGCCCATAGCTGCCACGCGCCGGCACAGACGCAGGGCGCCGCGCAAGCACGAACGCAGGGGCGCGCCTTCCGCGCCTCCTCGTCGTACACGATACCGAGGTGCACGCGGCGCTTCGAGGCCGCCGCCTGCGCGGCAACGCGCGGCGAACAGAGAGCGACGAGAAATCGCGCGCGTGCAGCCTGAACCGCCACCTTCAAGCAGTTGTCGCGATGCGCCTGCACCTCAGCCCACGTGAGCTGGCCCGTGGCGACCAGCGCGACCATGTACCTGCCGCGCGCGGCGCGATAACAGGCAGGCGCGCGGGGGGGGCGCGCGACGGGCAGGTGGCGCCGATTCCATGCCAGTTGCCACTGGCAGAGGGTTAAGTAGGCCTTCTTCTCGGGCCCTTTCTTCACCGCCGCCACTTCCTGCGGGGCGAGCGCCCGCTCGCGGGCCAGGCAGCGCGCGCGCGGCACGAGCCTTGGCGAGGTCACGAATGTCCTTGCTGGCGCCGGACGATCCGTCAGCCTCCGCTTCGAAATCGCGAGGGCCCGAGCGGGCCCACTCGGGCACCCATTTGCGGATGTCCGAGTACAGGAAGACGCGCGCTTCCTCGCTGGATTCATTCTTCTGCCGCTTCAAGACTTCCGCGTTCAACGCGTCAAGCATGTCGGAGCTACCGGCGCACGGGGCCAGATGCGAGAACCAGCGCGCGCGCGAGCGCGCCTGGGCCAGAACTCTTGCGGGAGGTTGGCCAGCGACGCCTTGCCGAGGAGAGGGCCCAAGAGTACGCGGGCCGGCTTTTCCTGCGAACGCGCCGCGCGGGGCCGCGCGAGCCCGAGATCGCGTCGAGATCGCTTGCGCCTCGCTGGTGCCCGTCTCGAGCGCGGCCAAGAGGGCGGCCGCGTTCTCCGCCGCCGAGGGCGCTGGAGGGGCGGCCGCCGCCGAGCCCCCAGCCACCGGCGCCGGCGTGCTCGCCGCGGCGATCCCCGCGCGCACGAGGCGCTTCTGCGTGGCGTCGAGCTCCTTGTCGGCAAAAGAGGAATCCTCGAATGCCGCGCCCTCTAAATCGGCGATCGTCGCCGCACCTTGGCCCTTGGGCGCGGTCGCCGTGGCTTCGAGCCAACCGGCCTCGTGCGCCGACGCGCCGTCCAAGGCGCCAAGAAAACTGCCGAGGTCGCCCATCGCGAAGAGCGGTGCCGCGCGGCGCGAGACAGCTTGGGCGCCCGAACTCGGCGAGCTGCCGGCGCGAGCGCGCACAGGACGGAGACTGCGCGGGACCCCAAGAGGTGGCGACCAGGCCTGCGCCCCTCACGAGAGGGGGAAGACCAGGGGCCTGCGCCCAACCCAAGAGAAGGCCCGGGAGCTCTCCCAAGAAGAAGCCAGAGCCCAGCCAGACGGGGTCTTGGGGCCTGCGCCCTACCCGACACAGGGATCAACGGGATGCGCCCTCCCCCTTTGCACAAATGGGTCCTGGGGCCTGCGCCCTACCCAAGACAGGGATCTACGGGATGCGCCCTCCCCCTTTCGCACGATTGGGTCCTGGGGCCTGCGCCCTACCCAAGACACGGTACCAGGGGCCAGCGCCCTCCCCCACACAAGACGAGGAGCCAGAAGCCAGCGCCCTGCCCGAGACAAGGCCCGCGGGCCGACCCACGAGGAGAGCGGTGCCCAGCAAGACGGGGTCCAGGGGCTTGCGCCCTACCCAAGACAGGGATCAACGGGATGCGCCCTCCCCCTTTCGCACAGTTGGGTCCTGGGGCCTGCGCCCTACCCGACACACAGGGATCAACGGGATGCGCCCTCCCCCTTTCGCACCACTGGGTCCTGGGGCCTGCGCCCTACCCAAGACAGGGATCTACGAGATGCGCCCTCCCCCCTTCGCACCATCGGGCCCTGGGGCCTGCGCCCTACCCAAGACAGGGATCAACGGGATGCGCCCTCCCCCTTACGCGCGCTCGGGTCCTGGGGCCAGCGCCCGACCCAAAACGCAGGGATCCAAGGCCAGCGCCCTCCCCCGCGCGAAACTTGGCCCTGGGGCCTGCGCCTTACCCGAGACCAGGAGCGCCCTTGCCGCGAGCCTGGTACACAGCCTGGCCGAAAGGCCAAGGCGACGCGAGCGAGGTGCCCACAGGGCCCGCGCCAGCGAGGGTCTGCGCCCAAGAGAGACGAGCCACCGGCAAAACGACGAGGGAGCAGGCAGGCAAGCAGGCAACCGCCAGGCACGAAGGCAGAAGCAGCAAGGCAGGCGCCAAGCGGCAGGCGGCGGAAGGGAAAGCAAAGGGGGCACGCAGGGGCGACGGCGACGGGAGAAGCGAGGCAACGCGACGCCGAGCGAGCGAGCAAGCACGCCGACAAGCACAAGCCAGGACGACCCCACGCGAGGCAACAGCGACAGCCGAACGCGAGGGGGACAAGGCGACGACAAAGGCGGACGCGAAAAAGGACGCGGCGACGAGCAAACACAAGGGCGCGCAGGCGAGCGAAGAGCAGGGGCAGCCACGGCGCACGAGCAGGGCACGAGGGGCAACGAGCACAAGCGAGCAGCGGGGGAGCGAACAGGCCACGAGGGACGAGCACGGAGGGCAGGCAAGCAGGAGAGAGCGAGAGAGAGACGAGGCGACCCGCGAGGAGAGGAGGAGAGGAGGAGCCCGCGAACGACGGCGGCGGCGCGCGCGCGCGCGGCGCGCCCCACGCTCAAATCCCGAGCGCGGGGCGCGGCCCAATTCCTGCCTGCGGCCAATCTGCGGGGCAGAGGGGGAGAGGAACCTGCGCGAGAGGGAGGGCGGCCCGCCGATGGAGCGGCGGCGGCGCGAGCGCGCGCGCGGCGCGCGCGCACACACACACACACACAAAACACGCAACACACACACACACGCACCACACACACACACGCAACACACACAAGAAGAGAAATAACGCGCGCCAGGGAGGCACCCGCCGCGCGCGCGCGCGGGGCGCGCGCGCGGCGCCTCCTCCAAATGCAAATCGCCTGCGAAGCGCACGCGCCGCGGGGGCAGCGACCCCCCCCCGCGGCGACGCAACCCCGGCGCTAGCAAATCACCTGCGAAGCGCACGCGCCGCGGGGCAGCGACCCCCCCCCCGCGACGCGCAACCCTGGCGCGCGACGGCGCGATGGCCCGCGCCTGCGCAGCGAGGCCGCGGTCGCGTCGCACTGCCGCGCGCGCGACCTACGCGCAACCGTGGCCGATTTGTGCCCGCCCACAACGGTGAACGTCCGCGTCTGCGAGCGGACTTGCCGCCGTGGGCCTACTCGAAATGGGTGGTGGGGAGCCACTGGGGCCTTCGGTGGAGCTCCATATGGGGCCACGAAACGTATGAGGGGTGTGCCGAAATGGGTGGTGGGGAGGCATGCGAACGCAGCCAATGGGGCCTTCGGTGGAGCTCCCTATGGGGCCACGAATCGTGTGAGGGGTGTGCCGAAATGGGTGGTGGGGAGGCATGCGAACGCAGCCACTGGGGCCTTCGGTGGAGCTCCCTATGGGGCCACGAAACGTGTGAGGGGTGTGCCGAAATGGGTGGTGGGGAGGCATGCGAACGCAGCCACTGGGGCCTTCGGTGGAGCTCCCTATGGGGCCACGAAACGTGTGAGGGGTGTGCCGAAATGTGTGGTGGGGAGGGGGCATGCGAACGCATGCCACTGGGGCCTTCGGTGGAGCTCCCTATGGGGCCACGAAACGTGTGAGGGGTGTGCCGAAATGGGTGGTGGTGGAGGCATGCGAACGCATGCCGCAGCCACTGGGGCCTTCGGTGGAGCTCCCTATGGGGCCACGAAACGTGTGAGGGGTGTGCCGAAATGGGTGGTGGGGAGGCATGCGAACGCAGCCACTGGGGCCTTCGGTGGAGCTCCCTATGCCCTGCGTGGGGCCTTCGGTGGAGCTCCCTATGGGGCCACGAAACGTGTGAGGGGTGTGCCGAAATGGGTGGTGGGGAGGCATGCGAACGCAGCCACTGGGGCCTTCGGTGGAGCTCCCTATGGGGCCACGAAACGTGTGAGGGGTGTGCCGAAATGGGTGGTGGGGAGGCATGCGAACGCAGCCACTGGGGCCTTCGGTGGAGCTCCCTATGGGGCCACGAAACGTGTGAGGGGTGTGCCGAAATGGGTGGTGGGGAGGCATGCGAACGCAGCCACTGGGGCCTTCGGTGGAGCTCCCTATGGGGCCACGAAACGTGTGAGGGGTGTGCCGAAATGGGTGGTGGGGAGGCATGCGAACGCAGCCACTGGGGCCTTCCGTGGAGCTGCTTATGGGGCCACGAAACGTGCGAGGGGTGCGCCGAAATGGGTGGTGGGGAGGCATGCGAACGCAGGAGGGAGGAGGGCGAGGAGCAGGAGGAGGAGGAGAAGGAGGAGAAGGAGGAACGCGGGGACCGTCTCTTCAAAACGAGGACCCAACACCACAGGATGGTTGGGAATATTCAAAAAGTCGCCATGTTGACTATTTTTGAATATTCCTCCTGTCGAAAAACAGGCCCGACTTCCAGCTGGCCGCGTGAGGTATAGCGCGCGGGCGCGCGCGTGCTTTCAATGTGTGGCGCGCCACGCTGGCGGCCCGCGTATAGGCCGCGGTGCGAGGTCGCCAGGTTGAGTCGCTGCAGGGGTTGCCAATGGGGATAGGGGGTTTAGATTTCAGTCTGGCCTGCCCCTCTAGAGGAGGAATATTCAAAAATAGTCAAAACATACTCTGGGGACGATTTTTGTAAGTATTGTTGAGCTTTCATGGAGCATAGTGGGGTATGTTTTAATTTTTCGTCCAAGATCCGCCTGTCGAGGGACAGGCCCGACTTCAAGCTAGCCGCGCGAGGTGGCGCGTGTGCGCGCCCGTGCTTTCAATATGTGGGTCGCGCCTTGCCTGCGGCCCGCGCAGGCCGCGGTGCGGGGTCGCCATCTTGCATCGCTGCAGGGGTTGCCAATGGAGATATTCCAAATCCCTGATTAATCGACACTCCAACAAAAACCGACCCCCCCTCCAAATGCCACCTAATATTCCGGACCCCCCTCTTCGACGGGGCGCCTCAATAACCCGGACCCCCTAAGCTCCAAACCAAAGGGAGCGCCCTAATAGACCCCCCCAATTACAAAAAAAAACGCCTTCGAAAACCGAACCCGAGGGACGATTAATGATGTATTTGGAATATGGGAGGTTAGAAATGGATGCGAAGGTGGGTTTATATCTGCCCTGGCCTAGCTTGTAAGTGTCCTGCAACTGCCCTAAGTGGCTCAGGGTGGCTGCGTAGCTCCGCTAAGTGCGATCCGCCCACGTTGCCCGGCTCTGTACGCCCTTAAGCCACCTAGGGCATGTGTAATCCACTTATGAGCTAGGTCAGGCCAAGATGTAATAGTAAATCGTACCCACATGTAGCCCCCTATCCTCTTAGTAAACGCCGCGGCGATCCAAATATGCCATGGTGCCTAAAACCTTACTGGGCCCTGGAAAGGGCAGGGCCCTTTTATCACCGTTTTCGACCAAGTGTCTCGTGAAAATGGAAACGGTAAAACAACAACAAAGAACGGGTGCGGGATTGGAACCGGAGCCAGAAACAGAAGAAACATGGCGACGGAACCGGCAATAAAAACGACGACGGAACCGCGGTAAGAACAAGGCGGAACGGAACCGGTAAGAAAACGGCCCTGTCGTGTCCAGGGCCCACTACGTGGATCGCCGCGGGGGGTGCTAAGAGGATAGGGGGAGACAAGTGAATGCTAAGGATGGTTCTATCTGGCCTAACCTAGCTTATGAGTGGGTTGCACGTGCCCTAAGCTGCTTCAGGGCGCACAGATCTGGGCTAAGTGGGCGGTGCCCACGTAGCGGAGTTTCCTCATCATCCTTAGCCACACCCACTTACAAGTTGGGTTAGGCCAGATAGAACCTACTTCGGCATCCACTTCTAACCACCCGAGGGCACGGGGGCCCTGACGCTTCTCGCCGTTTCCGGCCTCGATTGGGCTCCTGGTGCCGTTTTCTCGTCCTGCAGGGCTTCCTGGGGCTTCGTCGTCGTCGCCGCCGTCGTCGTCGTTGTCATCGTCGTCGCCGTTGCCGTCATCGTCGACGTCGTCATCGTCGACGTCGTCGTCGTAGGCCGCCAGCCGCGGCGTCCCAAGAAAGCCCAACGCCGTTGCTTCTCGTCGCTCAGGTGCCTGCGGCCCCGGCGGGCACCGTCTACACGCCGCCGCCCAGCGCCCGCGCCGGCGGGGCCGTCGCCCAGGCGCCGCCGTGGCTGGAGGTGCCCTGGGTCAAGCATTAAGTCGGGCCTGTCCCCCTACAGGAGGAGTATTCAAGAATTGCTTCAAAATTGCCTGGGGACGATGTTTCTTGTATTTGTTCGGCTATGTTTGAGCATTGTTGGGGGTATTACATATTTGTCTTCCAGAATCCGCCTGTAGGAGGACATACCCGACCCAAGTCAAGCATTGGCGAAGCGTCCTGGCTTGCCCATAGGCCCACTAAAGAATGTTCCAAGAAACTGTTGGAGCTTGCACGGAATGTTCTTAGAACACTTCTGGCTGTGACTGTCTTGTTTTAATTCCTCAGTTGTATGTTTTAAGAATATTGCTTCTGTTCTGAAGCTTTTTTGATCCTGAGAGAATGCCGTGACGGTCGGTCCTTGCTCAACTGAGACATCCAGGCTTTGCTGTTTTGTTCGTGCAAAACGGGCGTTCTTTCACCTGGAGTCGGGTCCCGGGACTTGGCGGCGAGCGATGGGGGAAGTGAGAAGGAGAAGGCCTCCGCAGAAGGCGCCAAGACTTCTCAGAACCCCCCGCGCCCTCTGAGACGTGTTCTGTGTCTTCGGGGAAGGCTTAGAATACTTCTCAGAAGGCCGGGGGACTTCCGAGCCTTCTAAGAAGGCCCACCCCTTCTCACTTCCCCGCCCAGGCTCGCCGCCGAATCCTGGCTTCCATTTTTTCGCAACGGGCGTTTTCACCCAGAGTCGGGTCCCGGGACGCTCAGAGATCGATCCGGCTCGAAAAATGTAGCAGAAAGGTGGGGTCACGGTCTCTGGTCGCGATTGTTGGCGATGTTGCTATGTTTTTTTGCAGGTGCCCTGAGATCCTGGCGTTGCATTTTTTTCGCAACAGGCATTTTCACTTGGAGTCGGGTCCCAGGACACTCACAGATGGATCTGGCTCGAAACATGTCGCAGCAAGATGGGATCCATAGGACGCGGCTAGGCCCAGGGTCAATCCGTGCCAGAGTGTTCTGGAGATCGCTCTCAGAGCGCTCCAGAACGTGCTGAGAAGGCCGCGGCTCCCCAGACACCCTCCGGAGCCGTAGGAACTCAGAGATTCTCGATTTCATCACGACCCGAATGTATTCGGCGTCACCCCATCATACTCATATTATGTGTGCGTCGCCCCTTTGGGGGCGACGCGCGCACCGAGAAATCGTATAGTATACGCGTCGTGGCGGGCGCTTTCTGGCCACACCGCTCGGGAAACGATCTACTACAAGATGGGTATGCTATATGTTCGGGTCGGACGCGCGCCTCCAAGGAGGACATATAGTACTGGTATATCTCTATCTTTCCCATTTATCCTCGTCCTGGCTTCGTCTTGGCCCATGGCTTTGGTCGGGATTTTTCACGGCGGTGCCATGCTTCTGCAGCGCCAGGGGCTCCAGGTGGGCGGCACGGCCGTGCGCGCCGACTTCCCGGCCGCGCTGCGCGCGGTCGCCGTCGGCGAGGGCGTGACCGTGGGGAGGACCCACCAGGCCCAGATATTCCGCGAGGCGATCGCAGAGGCTCGGGGAACAACAACTGGCATACACATCTCCGGACGTCACTCCTGGGAGGTCAAAGTCTGACTTCGCCCTGGTCCGAAGACTGGCTCAATCCGGCACAATTCAAGTTCAACCTGGCTTACTCCCTCTGGACGCCCGACATGGGTACGGAAAGAATGGGTACAATGCCCAACAGCAGTTCCTGTTCATCTTGAACAGGACTCGCTGTCCGCGCCGCCGCGGCCTGTGTCCATCTGAGACAGGAGGCCTCCTGCCCAACAGCGGCCGCTGTTGGTTTGGGACAACATTTGTTGTTGGGCATTGTACCAATTCTTTCCGTGCCCATGTCGGGCGTTCAAACTCCCGTTGGATTCGGCTTCCTCCCGCTTGCCTCGCGGCAGTGCTTCCGACGAAGACCTCTCCCAGCAGCTGCCTCCCAACACACAAGCTTGCGGAGCTCCGCGCGGACTTTTTCGGACTTCCGGGGGTCGGCGCTGGAGCCCCCTGGCGGCGCCCCCGGGCGCCGCCTCCGCGCGGAGCGCGCCTTCGGAAGGAGCGCCCCGTGCCGAGCCGAGGGATTCGCCCGGACCTCCGAGAGTGTGCGCTCCCGTGTACGATCCTCTCGGTCGAAGAAGGAACAGCGCCATAAACCTAAACGTTTAGTGCTCCGCGGATTTCCCGGATGTCCGCGAGGATTCGCTGGATTTCTTGGATTAACATTTGAACTAAAATAGACGCGGTTTTCCTGGATCGGCGCTAGGGCCCCCTGGCGGCGCCTGCGGCGCCGCCCCTGGCGCGCTCCGCGCGCTGGGGAGGAGGGTCCAGCGCAGATCCAAGAAATCCGCGCAGAGCGCCAAAAGTTTGTGTTTACAGCGTTTTTTCTTTTATCTAGAGGCGGTGCTGCAGTTCACCAGCCGTGACCACTTCCGCGTGGACCCCGGGCCCGCGCTGGGCGGCTTCAGCCTGGTGGCGCTGAGCAGCAACCCGCTGTGGCTGGTCCGGGCGGGGCAGCGGTGGGAGGCCCGGAGGCACGAGCCGCTCCGGCTGGCGGACGGCGACGTGGTGCAGCTCTACACCGGCGACGCCGCCCAGCACAACCTGTATTGGGTCTTCCGGGGGCGTCCGTCCAAGAGGGGGGTGATGATTAGGGGGTTGGATCGTATGCCCGGGGCCACGATATCTCAGGTTTGATGCCCCCCGTTTCTTCTTTCCATATTCAGGGGGGAAAAACTCACAGAGACAAGGATTCGTCAATTCCAACGAATAGAAGTGATGACTGGGGGGTGGATGTCATGCCCGGGGCCACGATGTCTCAGGTTTGCTTCTCCACCGTCGTCTGCGCACATGCCTCGGGCCATGGTTCGCTAACCCTCTTCTTGGACCCCCCCTCTTTCGAGTAGGAGATCGACTACAGAATTGGTCTACCCCAGACTTGAGATCCTCGTCGAATCTACGACTTCATAGCTTTGACGCGAGTTCGTTCTGTAGTAGATCGCCTACTCGACCCTGGGCCGCCCCCGAGGTCTTCCACCAGCCCGCGGCGGCCGCCGCGGCCGATGGCGGTGCACCCGCGGTGCCCAGGCAGCCCGCGCCCGGCGCCTGCAGCGGCACGCTGCCGGCGAGCTGCCTGCACGGAGCGCCAGAGGGCGTGCCGCAGCAGCGGGGCGCCGACTACTCCCTGAGCGAGGTGCCGCGGCAGGCTTCCGTCGTCACTCAAAGAAGAAAAAGGCACCCATATACCTCTACCCATCGCCCGTTTTCCCCTTCTTGGGCCTCCTGGGAGGCCCTCGTCGCCACCGCTGGATTCGCCTCGAAATTCTGTTCAGAATACACCCTGGAAGAGGCCTGGGGAGTAGCGGTATCGGTAGCTTGTGGTTTCCCTAGTCATTATTTTTGTTCACACACAGTCGAGCCCCGGATCAAGAAGCGGCGAGGCGTCCTGGCTCGCCCATGTGCCCACCGTTGAATGGTCTGAGAAGGTTTTGTGCCTTGCGCGACATGTGTTCAAACCATTTCTGGCTGAGGCCGTTTCGTTTCAGCACGCCCGCTGTCTGAGAGCAAGACTGTTCTAAGAACGTTCTTGTGGTAGGGCTATAGGAATCGGGGGACGGTCGGCCGTATTCAACCAGAGGCCAGAGGTCTCGACCCATTTTTGGTAGGTGGATCTCTCAAGCTCTCCGCCGCCTCTGGCGGTGTGGCTTTGCTGTGCTCCTGCTCACAACGCGCACCGCCAGAGGCGGCGGAGAGCTTGAGAGATCCACCTACCAAAAATCTCGGGGACCAGGTTTTCATCTCGAGTCGTTCTGTTCACGGTCCCGGGGCCCGGCGAGGGCTTCCAGAGGCCGAGGATGGCCTCAGACTGTCCGTCGCGGCTCCTTCCTGCGCCGAGGGGCTCCGGGGCGGCAGGCTCCCCCATCCTACGGCGCCGTGGCCCCGGGCGCGTGCCAGGGCACGACGATCCTGAGCGGGGGCAGGAAGTGCGGGCCCCAAGAATTTACACCACCACCGCGTCGATTCGTCCCCCCCTCCTCTGCCCTCGTGTTCCTTTCCTCTTTCCTGGGGGAGGGAGGGGGTGAGGGAAGCGGTGGTGGTGTATATGTTTGGGCCCCGCGAGTACGGGAAAAAACAATGACAGAAGCATAGAAACTCGGAGGTCCGCGCGGATTTCTCGGATCGGCGCTCGAGCCCCCTGGCGGCGCCTCCGGCGCCGCCCCTGGCGCGCTCCGCGCGCCAGGGAGGGGGGTCCAGCGCGGATCCCGGAAATCCGCGCGGACCTCCGAGTTTTTATGTTTCTGTCATTGCTCGTCCCCCTAAGGAAGGAGAGCAGCAGTGCCACCTACTACGAGAAGGCCATCACGGGCTGAGAGGCCCCCGAGGCGCCCCGAGGCACCGAGGCCCCGAGGCGAGGCGAGGCCGCGCACAGAGACGAGGTCGGCTCTGGAAGGGCTGCGGTGGGGGAGGGGGGGCGAGCAGGGGGCAGTCCAAGGGGGGCAGTACGAGGGGGGCAGTATAAAGGGGGCAGTACAAGGGGGGGGCAAAATCGTCCCCGGACAGTTTTATATAAAGAGAAACAGCTATTGTGAATATCCCCCCTGTCGAGGGACGTGCCCGACTTACGAGCAGGGGGCAGTACAAGGGGGGCGGAATGGCGTAGAAGGGCGGAGCCGGAGGAAGAGGGAGGAGGGGAGAATGGGGAGGATGATTGAGCAGCGGCGCGAGGGCGAGTGAGGGGGCGGCGAGGACGTCGGCTGTCTGCGAGGCTCTGAAGAAGCCCGCCGCAGGCGCCGACTTTCTCTTGAAAAGCAATGTGGGTGGGTCGCGGGGTGGGTCGTGGGTGGGTCGCGGGGTGGGTCGTGGGTGGGTCGCGGGGTGGGTCGCGGCGCAGGTGGGTGGCGGGTTGGTCGCGGGTGGGTCGCGGGTGGGTCGTGGGCGGGTCGCGGGATGGGTCGCTGGTGGGTCGCGGGGTGGGTCGCGGGTTGGTCGCGGTTGGGTCGCGGTTGGGTCGCGGGTGGATCGCGGGTTGGTCGCGGGGTGGGTCGCGAGGGGGACGACGACGACGACGACACACAACGACCACAACAACAAAAAGGACAACAGCAGCAGCAACAACACCAACAACAGCAGCAACAACAACAACAACAATCAGTTTAACATTGCTCGCTTTTATCTGCGTGCGTGCCATGCAACACGTATATCCCAAACCCTCGATACCCGCCCTCTTCGTCTTCGATTGTAAGCCCTTGGGGGTATACCTTTCTTACCTGCAACGTGTATGTCATGCAGCCCCTACGGCACGGGAAGAGAGGACGGATGGAAGAAAGGGACGAGGGGGAGGGAGGAGGATGGAGCACGAGAGAGAGAGAGTAGCAGGAGAGGGCTGGGAGCAGAAAACACGTGGCATAACCAGACGGGCAGATCGGGCGGGTAGACCCCAACAGGCGGGTCGGGAAGGCGGGCCCAGGCGTCGAGCAGGCGGGTTGCTGAAGCATGCGTCCTGCATGAATCCCGAGTCTCCAGCGACAGCGCGATTCCCAAGTAAATCGTGAGATAGGCCAGGGCGAGAACGTGATTCCTGAGTGTCGGAGGCGCGGCGTCTGAATACATTGCGATGAAGTCCCACGCGAAATCGCGATATCTCTGCATACATCGTGTGGACGTCCCGCGCGAGAGAGCGATTTGGGATTACAATTGTGAGGAAGTATCCGGCGGGAGCCGTTGTTGTTGTAACTCGGGGACCAGGGGCCCAAGTCTGAGAGCCAAGACGTTCCCTGATAAAACACAGGGTGCGAACCCCAGGAAGGGCATGTCAATTGAAACATACGATGTGCCCTGGAAGGGGGGATCAGCAATAATTGTTCACCTGTGGTGGGAGTTCACCAACAACACCAACAACACCAACAACACAAACAACAACAACACCACCAACAACATCAATACTAACAACACCAACAACAGCAACACCAACACCAACACCAACAACAATCAAATCAACAACACCACCAACAACAACAGTAACAGTACTAATAACTATACCAACAACAACACTAACAACAATACCAAAAACAATGAAAACAACAACAACGACGGGACGACTACAACAACAACCCGCACCACAGAACATCACTTCAGCCACGAGCGCAGGCACAGTGAATGACCGTTCGGCCCCCTCACTCTGAGAAGGCGTGACGGCCAGTGCCGCCGACCCTGAAGTGGGACAACTACGTCGACGACGACGAGGACGACGACGACGGCGGTGGCAGCGGCGGCTTCGGCGGCGGCGACGACGACGACGACTGCGATGACGACGACGACGACGCTGACGCTCTGGAGCCGAAAGCTTCTCTCAGGGAGGGTTGCTCCCCCCAGGGGGGTCAGAACCCCTGGGTCAGAACCCCTGCCCCGCTCCCATCCCCCCCGGGGACCCCCCCCCCCGAACCCGACTCGTGTACGACGTTGCTCGACTTTCCTCCGGCTGGACCGCTCGGCCGTTAGGGATGGATGATTTGCAGCGTGGATGCAGCGTTGTGATGATGACGATGATGGCGATGATGCAATGTTGAGTTCATCGCTGTGTGTGAGGATGATCATTTGGAGGGTACTGACCGCGGTGGCGGCGACGACGGCAGACTCGGGACGACGAGGACCGACTACGACCGACGATCGACGACTGCCAACGACGACCGACGACCGGCGACCGACGACCGACGGCCGACGCCGACGACCGGCGACGGCCGGCGCGAGTGCGCTTCGCGCCCGGCCGCGCGACGGCCACCCGCGCGCGCTGGCCCTTGCCGCTGGGGCACCGCGCGGCCGTGGCCGGTGGGGCCTCGGGCCAGCGGCGGCGATTGGCGGCGAAAGGGGGCCCGGAGCCCCCGCCGTTGTTTGTTTGTTTGTTTGTTTGTTTGTTTGTTTGTTTTCTCGGGGGCGGAAAAGAGGGGGGTGATGACTAGGGGGGGGTGGATATCATGGCGGGGGCCATGATATTTCCCAAGATTTTATGGCGCCTCTTCTTGTTTCATTACGTCCCTGGCCCCCCCGATGGGCCGCGCACATGCCGCCGGTCATGATTTGCACCCCCCCCTCTTGGACACCCCCCTCTTGGCCGCTCCCGATTTCTTTTTGTGGTGCAGCGTCGACCCCACAGGTCTCGACGCATTCCACTGGACCGGCGTGTCCTCTCGAGGCGCCTTGTCGACGGTCTTAGGGGCCCGGCGAGGGCCCCAGAGGCTGCAACATTTTTGTCGGGGGCCTCCCAGATGGGGTCCGAGCAGACTTGGGTCGGAGGCTCGCGCCGCATCGCCGATGCATCGGCAGGTCGGCTCGATGCGGAGCCCGATTCTCGCCACACCGACGTCGCCGATGCGTCGTCGATGCATCGCCGATTCATCGCCGAGACAGCCGAGACATCCCCGATACATCGGCGAGGCGGCGCGTACCTCGGACCCCACCTACTCGGACCCCATCTGGGAGGCCTCGGAAATTGCATAACAAAACCATCCCGTCGTGCTTTTTCACGACAAGAGGGGGTCTGGAGGCCGTTTCTGTTTAGCTTCTGGCAAATTTGCTTGCATGGAGGGTGGAGGGGATTGGGCGTGGCGAGTCCCGAAAGGGAATCTGGACTTGACCCAAGCCGGGACTCATTTGCACGGTTTTTCGGCCCAGCATTGCTTGAAAAGGCGGCGGGGATGGGGGGGGAGGCGGGGGGATGCTATGCAAGTGAATTTGCTTGAGTCTAAAGGAAACGCCCTCCTGCGTTGGCTCCTGGAGGTCTGGAACACTTCCCCAGGGCCGGCTATTCGTCCCGAGCAGTTGTTCCAAGGCCCCGGGCCCGTTGTCGGACGGAGGACGAGGATATATCAGTTCCAGAGCGTCCTGGAAGGCCGCGGCGCCCGAGGCATCCTCCAGAGCCGCTGGATCTCAGAGCTCTCGGGCTATCCTCACCCGGATTTATCCTCCTCCTGGCTTTGTCTCATGTTGAGGGCCCCCGGGAGGCCGAAAATGGCCCCAAACCGGCCGCTCCAATTTGTGTCGGAGCCTCGGATCTGAGGTGGCGCCATCTCCGTCAGGAGGGAAAATTGCAACGACACTAAGAATAGCCGATTCCGAAGGAAAGATGGACCATTCGGAGAGCGGAGGGGAAGACGAACATGCAGAACATGTGGAAAGCAGGGGGAACCCTTGGGGCTTGTGGCCATTTGGTCGTGCGTCCACCCTTTTGCTCGGAGGCCCCTCCCAGCGGCCCGCGCCCCCCCCCCCCCCGAGCGGCCGCTGGGGGCCGCTCGGACCTGGCCCACGGGCCTCGGCAGCCCCTTCCTTGGAGGGCCCTCGCGCCTCGGAGAGGGGCAGCCCGTGGCCGCGGGGGGCCGCGGGGGCAGGTTGCGAGACTCGAGGCTCGAGGGGTTTTCTAGTTTTTCCGACGTTTCGTGGCGGTTTTCGACGTTTCTTGCAGGTTTTCCGGCGTTTTCGGTTCGGGCGGTTTTCGACGTTTCTTGGTGGTTTTCGACGTTTCTTGGAGATTCGAGGTTCGAGGGTTTCGGGCGTTTTCGACGTTTCTTGGCGGTTTTCCGGCCGCGGGATACTTTCCAGCGGCTGCGCCTCGCCGAGAGCGTGTCGGGGATGCCCCGATCGTCCCGAACGGCCACTGGCCCGAAAACCGAACTCGGCGGCGCGCGAGGGGGAGGCGGAGGTGGGGGGGGGGAGTACTTTGGCCGCGGGAGGGGGAGGGAGGAGGAATGGGAATGGGACTCGAAGAAGAAAAAACGCTGTAAGCATAAAATGTTGGCGCTCCGCGCGGATTTCTTGGATCCTCGCTCGGCCCCTCTTGCGGCGCCTCCAGCGCCGCCCATGGCGCGCTCCGCGCGCCAGGGGGGGGGGGCCCAGCGCAGATCCAAGAAGTCCGCGCGGATCGCCAAAAGTTTCTGTGTATGCTGTTGATTCGTGCAGGGAATGGGGCCAATGTCGTAGTCAGAATCAAATCAAACATCAAAGGAAGGGAGAAGGATGCCTGTCCGACCCACACGAACACCTTAAGGCCCTCGCCTGCCCGCCAAGATGACACCCAATGAAACGACATTGACGCCGCCTGTAGAGGTTGACCGCGGTATGTACCCAAATCAGCACGGCACTATTAAGCCAAGCGCGCCCAGCGCCGCAAGCCCACCGCGCACCACGAACATTAATCCAGCGGAAATGGCCACCAGCCCGTAGCATGCGACAACGCAAAGGCAGCCATACGAAACCGTAGCGCTGTGGCAATCACCGAAGCTAGTGTGTCGGCATTACGGCGGGACTTCAGCGAGAGAACGACAAACAACCAACATAGATACGAGGACATGGAAATCAGCTCGGAGCGTACTGCTGCCAC